TAAGAATCATATTATACAGATGGTTGTAATTGATTGGATATTTATCTAATATTTATTCTCTAAAATAAGCTTTATATAAATCAAACTTACTTTAGATTTCCTTGCATAAAATTTTTGAAGTAGAACAAAGTTAAACTTTAAACTAGGACAATTGTTTTTAAAACTGTACTAAAAGTTGATTAGATTTAGATAAATAGCATTATCGGCTTTTTAAGAGTCACAAGAAAAACGTCAACAAAAGGATCTAGTTCGCCATTGGCCGGATATGAAAGATAACAGTGGTTTACAAAATGTAAAGTTTACATTAGGTATCATGGTTGTAGATGCAACCGACAACCGTGGTTTACATTAATTAGTGAATAGTGAATACCACGGACAGCTGATATCCGTGTGAATACTGAATAYAAATTATAAATTTCATGGAACAAAATAATTTTATTATTGTCATCAGTAAGTTCATCACTCAAATTGCTCAAACACAGGCACACAGCTGCTGCAGCCTGCAGAAAATAATTTCTGAATACTTCCAAACAAATTTTGTTACACAACTACCTACCAATTGTTTTTGGATTTATTGTGAATTTTTATGACAACTGATAACATTTTTTATTTTTATTTTTTATCACTTTCTATTCTATCCTTAACTACCAAGGACTATTAGTAATACCGCTACACCGTCATACCAAAACAACAACTGTTGAGCGTGAAGTGTGAACTTGCTTTTTGTCAATTATCGTATTATTATCATTAATTTAACAATACAATAGTTCATTACAGTTTAATCTCTTTTAAAGTTATTACGATTATAATTTTCATCACGCTTGAAGCRATTATTTAATTAATATATTGATCAATATCCGCCAACTTCAAGTTACTTCCAAGTCCTTTCATTGGACTTATATTTCTAATTGAAAGTGTGACCACACCCATCGAAAATAGGCCTATCCGATACTGCAGTCATGGACATGATGATTTCCAATCTGCAACAGCAACGGCAGATAACGGAACAGCTTCGCCGAGAAGCAGCTGTGAAACGTATACCCGTTTCACAAGCTATWCAAGACATTATAAAGTATATCAGAGAACGAGAATTGGAAGATTGTCTTATGGTTGGTTTTTCATCACAGAAAGCTAATCCATTCAGAGAGAAAAGTAGTTGTGTAGTTATTTAAGCTTATGTATTATTTAAAAGTTAAAACTGCTTACAGTTAATATCGAAGTTGAAAGAAATGAAAAATAAAATATTTTCTACTATACCTACTATATTAACAAATATGATCAATTATTATTTTAACTCCTCCATTACAATTTTTTTTTTTTTATTGATTAGTCATGTACCAGTGAAAAATTACTATCTTATATAATATGTAATAAACGATTCATTTTTTTTTTTAAGTAATAAAATGTTTATATGACAAATCATATTTTACGTTTGTACCTTTCAATTGTGCTTACTCATTGTCGATAAAAGTAAAATATTACTTACTTTAGTTACTTAGATACCTAGTCCTACATTAATTGATTCATTGAGTTATATTCATAATATATCAAATTATTCTAGTGATAATTTGTTAACAACAAAATAAAAAAAAAAAAATGAAAATTTCATAGTTGAATAATTGATGAGTAAATTATGATTGAAAAAAAAAATCAGATAGGTACTCAATAAAAAATAAAATAATAATCTTAATAAAATTATTTTATTGAAGATAAATTCCCAAGATAAAAAATAAAAATAACTAATAACCATGCTAAAACTAAATATTGAAGTATATAATCATATTTAATAACAGTAGATTACCGTCAAAAACTATCAAAATATTTATTAGTAACAATTTTTAGAAGCTTGTTCAGTAAGAAAATTAAACAGATTACCTACTTACGGGCCTACTTATTATTAATAATAAATGAAACTATACTTATTTGTTTTTAATATTTCTACAATATGTCTACAAATCCAATTAATATAAAAAACAATTTGAAAATAAAATAATGTATACTAGGTAGTAGGTAGAGATTGATTATTTAGTGATT